CAACGTATTTTTAAGAAACGTTAGTTATTAAATTTACAAACATTTACAATTACAAATACAAAAAGTGGCGCAGTCAGATGGATCTTCAGAACATCCGGATGACATTAATTAAAACACCCAAATAAAATAAACAAAAGCAAACGCCACTACTCTTTTCTTGGTTGCACGTTGCTTGAGGAAATTCATATGCAAAGGTCATGTTATACTGAGGACATCCATTTCCATATAAATGAACTCGATAATCTTCCCCCCAATTTGCAATCATCTGAACATCCTCCAAAGTCAAATAACGGCAAGAAAAATAAAAACTTTCCACATTGCAATTTTCACAAAAACTTGGCGAAATTTTCTTCAATGGATTATTTGCCAGATCTAAAATTCCGAACGTGTGATTACTAAACACACCGTTCGATAATTCCTCGACGTTATTCCCACTCATTTCAAGCATCAGTGTTATTTGAGAAAACATCCCGTTGAGTCCACCTTCTATTCTCTTAATTTGATTACAAGTTAGCAATATGTAGGCCCGTCTTGAAAAGAAACTAAAAACTCGAGCTTGTAACGCTTGAATGCGATTGTGTTGTAACATTAAGTTTTCCAGATTTGGTAACAAAGAAAATGCTTCGGGATTGAGCACTTTCAGTCGATTATAGCCTAAGCCTATAGTGCCTAGATTTGTTAAATTGAAGAAAGCTTCATCTTCTAATGTTTGGATCAAGTTACCCTTCAGCAGAATTTCTTTTAATTGTAAATTCCGAAAGGTGCGCTTCTTAACAGAGGTTAATCTGTTATTGATGATTTTGATCGTTTTGGAAACGTGTTGAACGGCTGCGGAGAAACATTCTTCTTCTATTTCTCTGATCCAACATGTGTCAAATGTGATCGTCGAGAACTCGCTGGCGCTGTTCAGCATGTCGCAGCATAGTTGGGGAATGAATTGCTTAACAATAAAAATGTGATCGTCACCCTCAGAAACTTTAATAACGTCTCCTTTTACAGTACCGCCTCTATCATGAGTACCCATTTTTTTATAATAAATATAAGTTGTTCCCATGTAATGGCAAGCGATATTTGCGTGAATTTTCAGAAACAATAAAATTGTGAAAAATTTTAGAGACATTGCAAGTGCTGTAACTATCGTCAAGATGTCTACAGTGTTACTGAATTGCACAGACAATGTTTCAAGGATTCTAAATAATAACACGTTTCTTGTTTTTCTAAAATCGATGTGGATAGTTAGGTAATGTGCATCTATTACGAAGCGAAGGTTTCGTCACAATGCAAAAACGGTTTTAGGAGAGTTTCTACAATTATCTAAGTATGTTTTTTCACCTTTTTTTTGCCACAGAAAAAAAACACTCGAGGTGTCTTACATTGTTTCTAATCAACTCCTAGATATTTTAATACAGGGTAGCGTTAAATAAAACATCAAAATTACCACTTTTCTTAACAAATATTTTACACAAAAGACCACAAGTCTAACCTTAAATTATCATTTCTATCTACATGTTCTCACAATTCGAAAACAATTAATTTTAATGGAAACAAAACAACACTAACCCGTACTCAAATAAATTGTGCAGACTACACACTATCAATAAAACCCCAACTAAGCTTTCGTACCCGGACAAGCTTCCTCCTGCTTTGCAACCATCCCAAGGCATGGAAACAAAAGTCACATTCAAGTAACTACACGGTCCTGACACAAGCTGAACTTCATTTTCTTCCGCCCATTTCACAAGATTTTGGGCAGCTTCCATGCTTGTTAAGCTACATTCAAAATAAAAGCTCCCTATAGTACAATTCCTGCTGCAAAACTCCACTGATACCTCATCTAAATGATTAAATCTTAAATCGACTTGGGAAAACTTGTGACCGTTAAAAATAGTACCCGACAAATGTTCAATTCGGTTCCCAGCCAAATATAAACTTAAACTTGTACTTAACATGCCGTCAAAAGCGCCATCGATGTTGGAAATTTCGTTACACTCAAGAAAAATCGTTACCAATGTAGCTTGACAAAACCCAAAATCGCCTCTATCTAAATGCGTTATACGATTCAAACTTAAATCTATGATGTTCAAAACTGGCAAGTATGCAAACCCGTTGGAATTGATCGTTGACAAGTGATTTTGGGAGAGAGTTATAGACACGAGATTTGGTAAGTTGGCGAAAGCTCCGTCTTCTATTATCGCAATCGAGTTTTTAAGTAAGATAATCTGGAGCAGATTCAAGTTTCGAAATGTGTCTTTCTCGATGACGGTGATTCGATTGTTGGTTATCTTGATGGTGCCTGTGACATGTTGCACCTTCTCCGAGAAACAGCTTTCGATATGCTTTATATTGCAGTTATCAAATTCAAGCACTTCTAACTCGTGGGAGAAATTAAATACTCTGCAGCACAGAATTGGTATGGTTGCGTTAAAAACGTGAATAGTGGACTTTTCGAAAGGTGTGTTAAAAGTTGAAGAAAATGTTTTGATAGTCGTCTTAAGTCCATATGTTTTTAAAACGTAAGAACTGACTTGAATGTCATCGCAGCTAAACTGTGTAAGTCTAACAGAAACAATAAACGCTGAGAAGGAAAGTAAGAGTAATTTCTCTGACATAATACCTAACAAAAGGTTATTTTCAACAACAAAATTCGAACTGGAGTGAGTATTTCTTGATTTTTGTCCATACCTGGTTCAAGACGTAATGATGAAAGTTTTTTATTGGAAAAGCAATATTCAGAACATTTTTTTCAAATGACGGTGGTTGTTAGAATCAATGTGAAACGAACAGTTGTTATATTACGAAACTGTCGTTGCGTAAATGCAGACAGTGGGAGAATTTCAACACATACGTAGCTTAATGGATTCGATCGAAAAAACTCCTCTGGTATGAAATTTATAAAAAAAATCTGTTGGCAAAACTACATCATGATACTTTATTTATTCTGGTGATTTTACAATTTGACGACTACAATAATTTGAGAAAACCGCCCATCTACAAATATGTGCTATTCAAATACAAAAAGTGGTGCAGTCAAACGGATTGTCCAGATTATACAAAATAAATTGAATTTATCTCTCAAATGCAATTAACCATAAATAAAAGTCCCAAATAAAGTACAAAATTACAAGTGACGCTGTTTTTTGCTTGGTTGCACAGAGATGGAGCAACCCCTGGTCCAATCGTCATGTTGTGGTAAGAACACCCACTTGTGTATAAGCGAACGAGGCCAACTTCCGCCCAACTTCTGATCATCTCAACATCCTCCAAAGTCAAATAGTCGCAAGAAAGAGATATGGATTCCATAGTACAACCTTCACAAAATGTCGCAGCAATCTTTTTCACTGGATTATTCCCCAAATCTAACTGTCCGAACGTGTGATTACTAAACACATCGTCAGACAAACTTTGGATTCTGTTTCCATTTAAGTCAATCGTCAATCTTGTTCGGGGAGATATCCCCTCGAACGCCTTTTCAACCCGAGAAATTTGATTACAATTTAGGAAAATCTGAACGTCCCTTGTTAAAAACTTAAAGACGCCCGTTTGTAAAGTATGAATACAATTAGATGTCAAACTAAGCGATGCCAAATTTGGTAACAACGAAAACGCTTTAGGGTTTAATACCTCCAGAAGATTCATAGCCAGGGATAAAGTAATCAGATTTGTCAAATTATAAAAAGCGTCGTCTTCTAACGTTACGATCAAGTTATGGTTCAGAGAAATATGTTTTACTTTTAAGTGGGCAAAGGTGTGTTTCTTAACCGAAGTAAGTCTGTTATTGGTGATTTCAAACGACCCAGAAACGTTTGCTATGGAGGCAGACAAACATGCTTCCATTTCTATAATATGGCAATTATCAAATGAAACCCTAGCAAAGTTACTGTTGCTGTCCACCATTTTACAACATAATTGAGGAAGATATTGTTTTGAAACGGAGACCTCCACGTTATCCTTGGAATTATTAATAATAATCTCTGCGCCAGTAACCGTTCGACGTTCTGTTTCTCCTATTATTTCATAATCAAATTGGAGCATTCCCCAATAATAGCACGCTAGACTTACGTGGACTTTCAGCAGCACCGAAAGCGTGAAAAATTGTAGAAGCATTGTAAGTCGTGAATCCTGAACTGTACTTGATCAAAAATGTAATAATTTTCTATGAAATAATATCATTTCATACTTTCTTGTAATCGATGTGGATGTGTGAGTGATGTCGAAAGAAACAGTTGTGGCCTATTACGAAACCAAAACTATACCTTCTTTTTTTTCACCGTAGTATGCTTGCTACGATAATAAAAAACACTCGTTTTCCATGATTTCGGATTAATTCCTAAATATTTTAATGTAGGATAAAAATAATAATATGTAAAACAAAACAGCCCCGACGAAACAGCCTCCCGGTAAAGTAGCTCAGTGACAAAAGAACTCCGGACAAAACAACCAGGTACCAATTTTTTTTCACAAAATACAACAATTTTGAGGATGTACTTTTGGTTTTTATTTAATCACAGAAATGTTTAAAATGTGTTTATTTGAGATAAGAGAGGTCAGGTCAGGTCAGTTATAAGAGGAAATAGGAATGGTTCTGACGATGGAAACAATAATAAGAATGATGATGAAAACACCCAAGAATTGCAAGGTCAACAATAAAATTCGAAGTACCTGACTGAAGACGTACTAATAATAAAAGTTTTTTTCTTGGAAGAACGATATTCACAACATATTTTTCAAATAACAGTTGTTTTTAGAGTCTATGTGAAACGAACAATTGTATATATTACGACACAAATTTCTGTCACAATGCAAAGATAGTAGTAGAATTTCAACATATGCGTAACTTAATAGATATAGACGAAAAAATTCCTCTGCTATGAAATTTATTTTTAAAATAATGATGTTAGTAACACCAACGACCCACATATTCCCTAGTGTATCAAAAAATATAAAAACTATATCATTAACACTTTATTTATTCTGCGATTTTACAGACAACGATATTAATCTTAGAAAAACGCAACTCTACAAATATGTGCTAGACAAATACAAAAAGTGGTGCAGTCAAACGGATTGTTCAGATCATGCAAAATAAATTAAATTTATCTCTCAAATGCAATTAACCATAAATAAAAGTCCCAAATAAAGGAAAAAGTTGCAAGTGACGTTATTTTTTGCTTGGTTGCACTGTGATGGAGAAACCCCTCCAATCGTCATGTTGTGGTAAGAACACCCACTTGTGAATAACCGAACTAGGGCAACTTCCGCCCAATTTCTAATCATTTCAACATCCTCCAAAGTCAAATAATCGCAAGAAAGATATAGTGTTTCCATAGTACAGCCTTCACAAAAAGTCTTAGCAATCTTTTTCACTGGATTATTGCCCAAATCTAACTGTCCGAACGTGTGATTACTAAACACATCTTCAGACAATGTTTGGATTCTATTTCCATTCAAGTCAATCGTCAATCTTGTTCTGGGAGATACCCCTGCGAACGCCTTTTCAACTCGAGAAATTCGATTACAATTTAGAAGAACCTGAACGTTATTTGTTAAAAACTTAAAGAATCCGGTTTGTAAGGTATGAATACGATTAAACATCAAATCTAGCGCTGCCAAATTTGATAACAAAAAAAACGCTTCAGGATTTAATACTTCCAGGAGATTCCTAGACAGTGATAAAGTGATCAGATTTGTCAAATTATAAAAAGCGTCGTTTTCTAATGTTTCGATCAAGTTATTGCTCAGGGAAATTGTGTTTACTTTTAAGTTGGCAAAGGTGCCTTTCTTAACCGATCTAAGTCTGTTGTTGGTGATTTTGAATGATCGAGCAACGTTTGCTATGGAGGCAGACAAACATCCTTCCACGTCTACAATATCGCAATTATCAAATGAAACCATAACAAAGTTACTGTTGCTGTCCACCATTTTACAACATAATTGAGGAAGATATTGCTTTGAAACGGTGACCTCCACCTTCTCCTCGGAATTATTAATAATAATTTCTGCGCTAGTAACCGTTCGTCGTTCTGTGTAACTTGTTATTTCATAATCAAATTGGAGCATTCCCCAATAATAGCAAGCTAGACTTATATGGACTTTCAGTAGCAACGAAAACGTGAAAAATTGTAGAAGCATTGTAAGTTAGTCCAGAACTGTACTTGACTGAAAGTGTATTAATTTTCTCTGTAATAATATCATTTCAAACTTTCTTGTAATGTCTGGGTGATGTCGAAAAAATATTTGTAGCCTATTACGAAACCAAAAGTATTCAATTTTTTTACCGTAGGATGTTTGTAACAGACATAAAAACACTCGTCAACAATAAAATTCGAACTGAAGTACTTGACTGAAGACGTACCAATGATAAAAGTTTTTTATTGAAAGAACGATATTCATAACATTTTTTCAAATGCCAAAGGTTTTTAGAGTCATTAAGACACAAAAGCTCTGTCACAAAGACAGTAGTAGAATTTCAACATATGCGTAACTTAATGGATACGATCGACAAAAATGTTTTGGTATGAAATTAATTTTTAAAATAATGTTATTGGCAACACCACCGCCCCATATATTTCCCAGTGTATCGAGAACCATAAAAATTACATCATTACACCTTATTTATTTTGTGATTTTACAGACAAAAATAATAATTTGAGAAAAGCGCACCTCTACAAATATTTGCTATACAAATACAAAAAGTGGTGCAGTCAAACGGATTGTCCAGATTATGCAAAATAATTTAAATTTATCTCTCAAATGCAATTAACAATAAATAAAAGTCCCAAATAAAGTGCAAAGTTCCAAGGCACGCTGTTTTTTGCTTGGTTGCACTTTGATGGAGGAATCCCTGATGTCATGTTGTAGTAGGAACACCCACTTGTGTATAATCGAACTCCGCCAGCTTCTGCCCAATTTCTGATCATCTCAACATCCTCCAAAGTCAAATAATCGCAAGAAAGATATATTTTTTCCATACTACAACCTTCACAAAAGCTAGCGGCAATCTTTTTCACAGGATTATTACCCAAATCTAACTGTCCGAACGTGTGATTACTGAACACATCGTCAGGTAGTGTTCGGATTCTGTTTCCATTCAAGTCCACCGTCAATTCTGTTCGGGGAGATATTCCCTCGAAGGCCTTTTCAACCCGCGAAATGCGATTACAATTTAGTAAAAGCTCAAATCTCCTTACAAGAAACTTAAAGACTCCAGTTTGTAAGGTATGAAGACGATTAAACCTCAAATTTAGCCCTGACAAATTTGGTAACAATGAAAACGCTTCAGGATTTAACACTTCTAAGAGATTCCTAGACATAGTTAAAACGATCAGATTTGTCAAATTATAAAAAGCGTCGTTTTCTAATGTTTCGATCAAGTTATTGTTCAGGGAAATTTGTTCCACTTTTAAGTTGGCAAAGGTGCGTTTTTTAACCGAAGTAAGTCTATTATTGACGATTTCGAACGACTTAGAAACGTTTGCTATGGAAGCAGACAAACATTCTTCCAGTTCTACAATATGACAATTATCAAATGAAAGCATAACAAGGTTACTGTCGCTGTCCACCATTTTACAACATAATTGAGGAAGATATTGGTTTGAAACGGTGACCTCCACCTTATCCTCGGAATTATTAATAATAATCTCTGCACCAGTAACCATTCGTTGTTCTGTGTTACCTGTTACTTGATAATCAAATTGGAGCATTCCCCAATAATAGCAAGCTAGACTTATATGAAGTTTCAGTACCAATGAAAGCATGAAAAATTGTAAAAACATTGTGAGTTAGACAAGAACTGTACTTGATCAAAAATGTAATAGGTAATTTTAATAATTAATTAATCGATGTGGGTGTCTAGGTGATGTGAAAAGAAACATTGGTGGCCTATTGCGAAACCAAAATTACTGCCGCATTATTTTTTTCCCATCACAGTAATAAAAAACACCAGAGGTATAAGTAAAACACCAAACCACCAGTGTATTATTTTTTATTAAAACATACTTTATACAAGAGATCATACATCTAACCTTAAACCATCGTTTGTACATTTTCTCAAATTTTTGAAAACACTTTGAGCAACATTCTCTCCGAGAACGGAAAAGTGTGCACCCGAAAAAACCATAACCTCACTCTCTACTCGTAGCTACGAACACAGCTACCAGAAAGTAATCTAATATTGCACAAAAATTAAATACAGAAACATAAATAAAAACTATGTACAGAGTCGTTGTAACGAAACCAAAACTAAATCGAAAAGAACTAGTACAGTCCCGATGGCAAATCAGTAACTTTCCCCACGTGCCGATTATTCCCAGAAACAAACTCCTTCTTTTTTGCAACGTTCGAGTTCTCCCTAACCACCTGTCCCGAATACAACCCAGCATTCGCGTGCCCCCTATTCACCAAAAAACTGTTACTCTTCCGCTCCTGCACCCTCGGAAAATAATAAAGAATGTCGTTGCGGTCACGTTTCGGCAGAAACATCTTCATTTTGTCGTCGTACCCATTCAACTTCCTTTGATTGTTGACCACGTCGCTTCTGGTTCGAGTTTGTGGAGACTTGTCGATTTTGTGATCCGTCACGACAATGTCCACCAAAGTGTCCAAACCGTCGTCGATTCGGTCCAAACTCTTCGCTTTCACCTTCTTGGAGTCTTCGTGGGTGTGGGTTACTACGACCCCGTTACTGTAGTACCCACCATCCAAACTATTCTGCTTGGATAACGTATTGGCAGCCTTCGCCACTTGTTTGAAAGACTCGGATCTCTTCACCTTGTGACTCTTGTCGTTCTTGTCGACTCTCGGTAACTGGTACTTCGAGGTACTTAATAAAGAATCAGAACCTTCTTCGCTGCTGAACGGGGTTTCGTTCTCGAAAAATAACTCCTTGTTGCCGTAGTCATAGTCTTCAGCGGGGATAAACAGGTGGACTAAGCTTCTGGTTTTTCTTGGAGGTTGTGGATGAAGATTCGACGGCACGATTTGCGCTTCGTTGTTCAAACCGTAGTCCTCTATAGCTACGGTCATCTGGATTTTGCTTGCAACTTGCGCATCTTCGATTTTCTTCCGTTCCAACGCCTTCTTCTTCTCGTCGGCTTTGTAAGCCTCACTCTCTGCGTCGTTGATGATGTTGCGCAACTCTTCGATCACTTCGTCGATCGTCGTTTCGTCTTCTTCATCAATCTTCGGTGGTTTCTTCTCGTTTTGGATGGTGTAGAGCTCGTAGACGGAGGCGTCGCGCTGGAGAGGTTCTTCAGGGGTGAGGCTACGTTCGGACGACGATATTCCTTCGTCTTCGTGCGGAGATTCATCTGGAACGACTTATTACCCGATGTTTACACCCCTTTCTGACTTACCTTTCTTTTTAGAACTACCGCAAGACGAACTTTTGACCGACTTCAACGAATGCACTTCTTCTTGGAGTTCGCTGCAGCGCTCCTTCAAACACTGTTCCAACGAAATTAAGATACCTTTTTCCTCTAGGAGGATTTGGACTCTTCGTTCTAGGAGCAACACTTTGTCTCTGAGGGTGTCATTCTCGCGTTCGGAACTCTCCAAGCGGATCATTAAACTTTCAACGTCCAAATGCTTCTTCTCCCAGTGGTCTAATTCCTCGAAGAGGTGCTCCGTGGATGAAGAATTAATACTGATGTTCTGAAACCGGAAAGTTAACCCCAATCGCAATCTAGCAATAAAAGTACTTTTTTCACGGTCGCTACGTCAAAGCCGGCTTGCTCCAGCTCCGCTTGAATGTACAACCTCTTCTGCATGGTCCCCGAACTGTCTAGAAACGTGTTCAAGAACTTCATTCCTGCGACCAAGAGCTCGCCTTGGCCTCCAGCCGACATTAACATCCCCACGAGGAATCTAAACCTCACGGGCTCCCCGAACCTCAATCTAAGTGTGGACAAAGCTTCTGAAACCGCGCTGTGTGAAGGCTGGCAAGCCTTCGTTAGTAGCTGAAGCGCCAGAATCCTCGACTTCGTCACATTACTCATTATACAAATAGCCAGAGTGAACAACCCAGCCGAAGACGCCGTCAGCTTCCTGATGGACTCGGTGTAGCGCTGGCAACATAGAAGCAGACACTGCAAACACGACAGTTCATCCAAGAGAGCTCTTCTTTGAAGACTTGGCGGGATTTTGCCCGTGGTGTTATGACCACCTTGCGATTGGCTCAGTTGGATCGCCCGCAGCAAGTCGAGGAGTAAAGTGATCCCATCCAGCGGTTCCGCTACGAATTCTTGGACAAAGCTGAAAGTGAGATATGTCATCTTGAGTTATGTCGCATTTGCATTTTGTTTGGAGGTATTTGAACTTGGAAAGGTAATTGGCGGTTTCCTCTGGGAGGCAATGACATTACGATGGCCAGGAGGAAAAAAATACAAGTGATTAAGATCTCTACGGGTTTCGATTGTGTTGCGTAATTTTCATTTCACACTTGTTACGGCTCAATGGGGCAAAAAGCAAATATGAGCCGGGCGGGTATTCATGAAGTACGATTCTCACGGACAATGTAATCAGTTCTTGGAAGGAGAGTTTTGAGTTTTTCTTACCTAGGGTAGGCGAGCCTGAGGTCGGATTTTAGTTTCCCCAAGAGCTCGCTCACGGTTCCGAACTGTCTCAGGGTCATTTCCGAGCCCGAAGAAATCAACATCGGGTTCCTGTAGTCCCGGAAAGTGGTACTCTGGGATCTGCTACACTCGGAGTCTGAGCTCATGGGAGTTGGGTAGAGGGAAACCGAGCTCCCACTGGCGGGTTTTCGGCCCCATTTCTTCAAAGATATCACGTAATCCTCGGGGTTGTAAATCGGGGGGCGCTGTTTTTCCTGAAAACAGGAAGTACATAAACTTGGGGCAACTTCAAACGAATCAAGTCTCATCTACTTTCCACGTGTCTCCATTAATGAAACAATGTCCAATTCTTAATTGATGGTACTCATACAAAGTTATAGAATACATTAGCAACAATGATACCAACATAATAAATAATTCATAACGTCATTAAAGCGTCGAGAAAAAAGCGTTATGTTTGTATTGTTTAAACCATGAAGCATTGCTTTGTTGAGGTTTATTGTATGTTTATACTAAGCAAATTTACATAATTATATGGTTAAGGAGTGCGGGGTGTCTCAAGTGTTGTGGAAACGAGTGCTTAAAATAAAACCTAGTCATGGGTTTGTTCGTCTGCTTTCAAAATTTCCTTTAAAGCCCCCTAACATCAATAAAATACTGATTAGACGACTATTCATTTTCTTAACGCGCCAAAATCCATCTAATTACACCGAGAACACAACTCCGAATTAATTTTCCCGTCCATAAATCCTGTTTTGATTACAACATTACCCGAATTAATTGCTTGTCGAAAATCCCGCCCGACCAGTCTTACCTTATTGGCTCCATCTTCGGAAAAAGGGAACTGTCCGAACCTCGACTCTTCCGAATTCGGAGCCATGCTGCTTCCGGAACCGAACAGTTCGCTGCAAGAAGAAAAAAATCATTGATTTAGAGACATCTAAATCGTCGCAGTTTACTAGAGCCTAGCGGATTATGTAAATGAGTCTCCAAGTACTAAGACACATCATAAATTTCTTAGCAGTTTCGATTTTTATTAAAAGGAACTTATGTAATGGAGCGGTCGTCGAACTGGCTTTAATTTCACGGATAATCAAAAAGTTTGCTGGAATTAATAGATTTCGAAGAAATTCTGTTGTTTCATTAAGAAGAACTAGTTAGAGTTTATCTGGATCTTAATTGTTGCAAATCACGCTGTGGTGCTTGGGTGGTACCACTAAACGGTAAAAAGAGCGGGAAATGTGCATTAATGGGTTTTTTTGTGTGGAGGTTGATGAATTGGTTCCAGATAGCTACAGGTTGAAATATAGGTTATGGTGTGACGGAAGCGCGGTGATTAGTCTCCGGGCACTACTTACCATTTTCGAGTTTTTTTGTACGCTAGCATTTTACCACGGTATTGCTGTGGTGTTACTTTGTCTACCCTTATCTAGTTTCGAAGCGTAAACCAATGGTACTGGTGGTACAGTAAATGGGTTAATTACCTTTTTGCGTGTATGTTTGTCTTATCAATGTGGTGATACCAAGTGTGGTACCAAAGGTGTACTATCTTTTATGGTTTCGCTATGAGTCATTTTTATTTACGTTGTTGACACAAACTAAAGTGTTATGGTAAATAAAAATAATTGTACATTATTATTTCGTTTTAAATTTTGCAAATAAATCCGTTCCTCCCAAATTATTTTTGCAATACTGATACAAGTTTGGAGTTAATGTGTGGACGAAATCCGAAAATAAAATCTGATCGGACGATCTAAGTGCATCAAATAAAAAAAAACAAACTTCATTAATTAATCTGATCGAAGACAGCAAAGATCAAATAACAGTGTTATGAGCACGAACTAGAAAAACAGACTCGTTTTTTTTTAATAAAATCTGAACTGCACAAAAAAATATTGCGTAAATAAAACCCAACTTATATATAATTGTATATTCTTCCAATAAAATCTGACAACAAATCTGAAAAATAATATCTGATTGAAGACAAAAACTAGAAAAACAACGTACACTTGCAACCTACAAGTCGTCCATTAAAAACAAAATACTCTTCATACCGTAAAACAAGCCTGACTTTAATGACAACAATTATACGAAGAGAATGTTAAAAAAAATCAAAAATCTACATAAACCATGTTATGCGATTCTCATTAATAAATCCTTGTGATCGTCCCATGTATGAAATTAATATTTCCCAGCGACCCGTTTGCGTGTTTTACCATAAACGCATCGACCATTCCAGCCATGTACGTTCCAAGAGCAAATCTTTTGCATACCTGAAGCACTAAATGGCAAAAATATCTGAAGAATGGTCTCCTTCATTAGCATCGTCCCCGCTTCATAAATGTCAAATCAATACTGCCAACCGCAAACATACCCATATCTAGTCATAATCAAGAAATGATCATAAAATTCCAATTTTATGACTCGTAAAGTCGTCGGGCTCGAGCGATTAATTTTCCACGTGGTTTAATGACCAAAAAGGCTCAACAAGAACTTCCTCATTATTATTATTATTATTGTTACAAAGTATGCGAGCTCCCGCCGATCGACTTTTTTTCCGTCCATGAATAGTCGCGTCGCTCTACTTGCCGCAGCAAATTATGACCATTATTATTAATAATGCATTTAGATGGAATTCTTCCACTTTCTTCTCCTTCTTTTCTTCTTTTCCGTACTTTTCACGCCCCACATACACCACGACCGATAACTCAATAACGCGACCTTACGATATTCTAATCACTTAACCTGCTTATGAACCAGTTAGAATCCTGCTATAACTGTTTCGTTCGCTTAAATTTGTAGCAATTACGCAAGAGGATTGTAGCATCGTCGGAACAAATCTTCAGCTTTATTTAATTATCGGCGGAGCGAATGAGGGTTTAATCGCAGCGAGCGATGAAGATTCTGTTATTTATGGGGCAGTTAAAAAGCAATTAGGAGCCGACTGTGTAGCAGGTTGGGTTTCATTGCGAAGGTTGTGAAATATCGGTGGTCCCAGCGGATCCTTGAGGTGTTCCTGCCTAATTACAGCGGAGATAATCGGACCGAACGGAAAAATTAATCTGGTTTTTTGGGTACTTTGCTAATCATGCAAATTCGGCGCGGTGATGGGTGATGGGTCGCCTTGGGCGTGTTATGGTAACGGATGGACAGAATCGAAACGAAGTATTTAAACTGCACAGCTGTATTTGCTCAAGGAAACTTGAAACTCTCAAGCTAGACAAAAAATTTTAGTCGACAGTTCGTGGTCACAGGTCTCGGTACTGTGGCTATGGTGCATTATCCATTACCAACACACATTTTCCCGTTTTAATTCCACCCATTAATCCATCTCGGAACATGTCATAAAAGCCCCACGACGACAAAAAAGCCAGCTTAAATACCTAATAACCACCAGCAGTTGTCAAGCCCCTCCATAAACGCCGACCTGACAGCTAATAACCATAATAAGTTACTTAGCGCAACTGTGTGAAATTTCACCCTTCCATTCCACTACGAAGAAACGAAGAAAAAGATTTACCGACGCATCAATCGCGGATTAAACGAACAAATCGGAGCGACAGCGCGTTATTAATAACGTCCTGTTAGAGCGTGTGAATCCGGCTTTATCGGCTCATCTCGACCACGTTTCTAACAAAACAAGACAAGCAAAAAATTTCGATCATATCTAATGGAGCACCTGAAAATTAACATTAATCCTCAGCAGGAAGTAGGCGTGATTGAGTTGCCGGGCAGAAATGTCATTAAAAAAGAGACGCTGGTACCACCGGCGGTACCCACTTCTAATTCTAATCCAACCATTGTCTCACAATTACCTTTTTTCTCTAGTTTTTTCCTATTCGGTCGGTACTTTTCACTTTTTTGTCTCTGCTGGGTGGTACCGGCTCGATTCGCACCCTACTCTGACTTGGACATTGTTCGCTTTTTGTCTTTGGACGCCGGTTCTCATTAACACTAGAACCGCCGCACCGGTCAATTTGACCGTTTTCCGATTTTAAAGTTTTTTTTTAAACGGAAATAATTTTTCTATGATCTTGCAATCTTCTGAGTTTTCCTAAATTATCTTTGGCAATGCTGTCACAAAATTTTGAACATTTTGAAATATTCTGAGCGCTCTTTTGGAAACTTTTTCCTGAAACCGCCGGCCCGGTCAGATTGACCGGAACGTTAATATTATATTTTGATTAAATGTATATGTCATTTAGTTTATTTTCTGGGAACAGTTGAATGAATTATACAGTTTGACTTGCACCAAATGTAAATAAATTTATATTTTCAACATTTCTAAAATAAAAAAAGGCATATATCTGCATCAAACAATCAGGGCTTTTCCTCTTTGTTAGTTTTTGTTCGTACTTATTTCAAGGTGTTCATTCTTACAGTCGGCTAAGAACCTGTTTCTACTTGTGCCACACATGCGCAGAACTGATTTTGCGCATGCGTACAAAATTTTTGCAAATTACAGCGTGTAAATTTGTGAACATAAAAATTGCTCTGTTGTACTTCGAAAGGGCACGCTTTCTGTTTAGTTTTAGTATTCTATACTTACCTATATACAAATTGAATTGTATGTGGTCCAGGAAAGGCCTCATAGCTTCACAGGCATTAGCATATTTAGACTAACCGGAATATCTTCCACCAAAAAATTCGGAGTATGATTCTAAATTATCTAATATTGATAGGGAAATTGAAATACTTTCTCACCTTGTTCGGAGTAAAGAACAATGTGGTGGAGAATCTGACCGTGACACAGTTTGTGATACACGATGGTGGTGAATATTACTTGGTCGAGTGCAACAGAACACTCGCAGAATAACCCATAACAAAAAAGATCTATAATATTCCAATAATTGTGAGGGTGGATCAAAGATATGTCATCAATCTCGTAAGAGACGTACATATCTAGAAAATAAATGTGAAAATAAAACTTATGTGTGAGAACTAAAAAAAAGAACCTATGTGGTTTATAAGAATTTGAAACAACCTACTACAAAAATTGTAAAAACATTTAAGATAACTACGTTAAGGTAACAATTATTTACGTATTTTGCGTTTATTTTTATGTAAATAGATATGGTAATTCATAAAAACAATCGAAAAAACCGAGTTTTAATCACCGGTCAATTTGACCGGGGCGGCGGTTCCAGGTATGTTGAATTTTCGGCGGTTCTAGTGTTAAGGCCGGTTCGCACGCGAGTGTCACTTTTGGTGGATCGAGGTCGGCTGTTTAATTCGATTGTTTTGTTTTTTCGCTTGACGTTTGTTAAAGAACGGTATATTGAATCGTCCGTCATCTGGCTAGCGTGTTTCTCTCCCACCATGGTGTTGGGCATCGACTTCTTGGCACACGCTGGCAGCTCTGCTTCTGGAGATAGAGGAGAGGTAGTAGCGGGACTTTTACTATTCGTGTGCGACTTGGAGGCGCTTAAGTTGGTACGACTGACAGGAAAATGTGGCCGAGATTAATGAGTAGGTTCGTGGTGGCGAAATATGTTCGAAATATTTAATGTTTCTATGTGGTCAATGGCGTTGTTAAAAGTAAGAGTAGTACCTGCATCCAGACGTGTCAACAAAAACAATGGACACTAAAATGAGTTGCATTCGAAACAATTACGGATGTTATGGGTTCGGTCTTTAAAATAAAGGTGGTACTACGAATAAGTTTTGCTTCCATATCTAGAAAAACCACATTAGTACCGCTTGTCAAAAAAGTTATACTGTTTAAAACAATATGTAATTATGTAAATAAAGCTCGACCCCAAAAAAACACTTAAAATTGCCTCCTCCAGTACTACCACCATAGACAAATTATACATCCAGAACTACCAACTATGAACTAGAAAACTTTCAGTCAGGTCATATAGTGGAACCTAAAATATAACTTCTGTCTTTACTAAACAAGAAC